GACATTGAGCGATCTACAGTCTGAAATAAGAACATAATGTTTACCATAAGCTTTGAATGTTTCTGCCCTCCTGAGCTCCAGTCATACGGCTTTATTAGCCAATGCTGTTGAAGATGTGAGCTGCAAAATCTTGTTGAAGTGATAACTGATATTACTACTAACAATTTAAGTTCAACAATAAAATTCAAGTGAATATTTCTTGGGAGTATCTGTCCTCCAGTCCATATCTAGAGTCACTCTAGGAATCATTGACTTAAAAACCTTAGGGTCCAGAAATAAAACACATCTGTATCTTATACCTGTGTAATCCTTGTGCCTTTTAAAAATAGTTATATATTCCTAGACTTAATATAAATGCCACTTAGCCCTTAATTTCGATTTTTGTCATCAGTGCATTAGGCAAGGCCCTTACCGTCCCCTGCCTGGTCACTCAAAACCTTTACTAGTCAGGCTTTTTCTCAGCATGGCTCTTTTTGTTTTATTCTCATTGATCTGGCAAATGGATTTTTTCACTCTCTTGTTCTGTAGATTGTTTCCTCAGTTTATATTTCAAAGTTTTCACTGTGATGACTAAGACTTGACTCATTCTATTTGCCTTTCCTAAACTTCAGTCAGACTAGTTGTGATATTGTAAGTTATACTAAGAAATATAATATCTGATCTTGACTTCATTCCTGACACAGAGCTCCTAAAACCTTTGGAATTTCCTAAGTAAGGAGAGTGATAAAAATATCTTTTGTTATGTTAGTGTGGTGACTTTTGGAAAGCCCCTCGGTCACCTAAGGATGAGGCCTGGTTGCCAGGAAATCCAACTGTGTGATTAGTGGGTGAAACTTTTAGTCCCATTTCTGGACCTCCTAAGAGGGGAGAGGGGCTAGAAACTGAGTTCAATCACCAGTGGCCAAGAATGTAATCAGCAGTGTCTACATAATGAAGTCTCCATTAAAACCTGAAAGGACTGGGTCCCAAGAGCTTCCAGGTTGGTGAACACGTGGCAATTTGGGGAGAATATGTGTGTATTCTCCTTCCCCCGTGTTTCTCTTCCATCTGGTTGACACTATCACCAGGTGATACTGTCAAAATTGAGTTTAATTGTGAACATCCAGCTGGTGTCCAAGAAGTGCTTGGTGGTGTGAGAAAAAACCCACATATTGGAATTGGTACCATAATCACACTAGTCCAATCACTGAAGACCCAGTGGAAACACGTTTCATCTCCTTATTTCACTCTCCCTGTTATGTTTCGAGATCTATGTTTTATAAAGAAGAACTCTTTCTCACACCTTATCATTCATACATAAATACTTATAGAGTAACCAGTGTATTTACAAAAGTATTGGCTAGAAATGTGTAATCATCCATGGAGGAGTTGGGGGGGGGCAGAGGGGAAGAAAGTGAATCAGATTCCTTGCCTGCTCTTGAATTGTAAACACATTTTGTTCAAAAACTAGGGAGGCACAGAAAATACTATGACAAACGTGGTAAAGAACAAATGTCACCAGCCTCCGAAACCATCTTTGGGAAATTTCATCTCCAGTGGGAAATTGTTTCCATTAATCAGAAGAAAAAAATCACCTCAACTCTTCAAATGCCTCACCTGCCTCACCTGCCTCACCTGTTTTCACATACTGATGGGTTAGTACAGATAGGGCAAAGTTTCCCAGCCTGAGCCTCTGGGGTCCTGAGTTCTGATTTCAACAGATTCTAAGTAGGGAAGTTGCCTGCTGTGCTATGTCACTACTTTGAGAATACTGTCCTTATTGATGGTGGATTCTTTTATGTTGGAAATGCAAAACACTTCTCATGTTTCAGGTAACAAGGAATATGTTTTTCTCTGGTTGAACATTATTCATTTTATTTCTCGCAATAAGAAGCACTCATTATGATGCTCTGATGCATGACTAAACTGGTAAATATCATTGGAATACTATGTATTCTCAGTTGTAAGAAAAGCAATTGTGATCCGGATGCAGCTAGAAAATATCCTCCAGTTAAGAACCAGGTAAGGTGAATCCAATCTCCCATTCCCTAGATTTTGAAAGACAAATACTCTATCAACTACATTGTTTTGTGGAGTTTACATCTCAAGATGGTTTCTGACTCTGAGCTCTTACTCTAAATTATTTCAGTCTAGAAATGTTCTTGTCATCATCTCACATGCACTGAACCTGGCTCATGCAGATAGGGTGCACTGCCTTATTAATCTCCTCAAGGAAAATGTATTTGAGAAGTGGGGCTTTATTAAAGTTTGGGAAAGATAAAGGAATTTATGTTTAAATCAAACCCCTCCCAACCAAAAGGAAAGTCATAAATTTACTGTTAGATATTTCTGATTAGCAAAATGGATAGTGATAGAAACGAAGCTCTAACATCAAAGTGCTTTAAGTAGAAGGCATTACTATTTACTATCACTATGAATCACTGTGTGACCTTGGGAAATTTACTTCATGTCTCTGGGCTTCAGTTTCTTCATGAGTAGAATGAAGATGATAATAGCATCTACCTCAGAGGGTTCTTTTGAGGGGAAATTATTCCATTAATTCATATAAATTGCTTAGAATAACCTAATATCTAGTAAGTGTCCACTAACTGTAACTGATTATTTATAAGCTATTTCAAGGGTTTCCACCATTTCTAAACTCATAATTGTATCGTTTAGTCCTTGTCCCTTCTTTTCTCAGCATCCCTCTCTTCATTCTTATTTCTGTTATTTTGTAATTCTTCATTTTATTTTTATTATATTGTTTATTACAGAGTAGTTGCACCATCACTTTTGTGGCCTACCTATATGTGACTAGTGGCTTTTGGAGTTACTGCTCCTAGTGTCTTTTTAAGGCATTTCCTTATACAAGGACAAATTCCTCTCTAAAAGGAATTCTGGAAGCAACTTACATACAATCATATTTGTCCTAAATATGTGGATGTATAATATACTTAATTCATAGAATGTATATCATTTCAATTTAGCTGCACATCTTTGAAGGTGGTACTGTGATGGATTACCACACTTTGATTATAAGAGACTGAGTTTTGCTCAAGGTCACCTGCTGAATGCAGAACAGAGATTTTTAACTAGACTCTGATTACTCCCAAAAGCCCAAGCTCCTTCTACTGTATCTAGCCAGTTATTTGTGTGATCTTGTTTAATGCTCACAGAAATCTCAGGAGGCTGGCACTATTGTTACCACTTTTACAAGTAAGGAAACTGAGCCTTACCGTTGAGTTCACCAAAATTACACAGCTGGTAAATATCAAAGCCCGAATCAGAGTGTACTTTTGCAGCTCTACTTTTTAACAATCATGCTGTGTTAACTCCTACCCCAAAATAAAAGGGATCAGATAGACAGAGTTGGGGGGGGGGTCCAGGTTAAATACATAGTTAGGATGATTGGTTCAAATACAAGCTACTTAGAGCCACTGTTAAAAGAAAACCAATTCCCTAAAGGAATTCTACAGAATCCCATAGGAATGCTAGCAATTCAGCCTAACTTAGCTCATGGAATACTGAATTAAAAGGCATTTGCATGTAGCATTAGCCTTCCTGTTGGTTCAGAAGATGCAAATGAAATGTTAACGTTAAAATCAAGCGGGAGAAACTACTTATTTTGAGAGGAAAAATATAAGAGCTCTACTCTAGAATACTGTTAACGTAATGTAAGGAGAACCGGGAGGACAAGACTGGCAGGCTCTCGGAAAAAAACCACAGCGGAAGACGGAGCTTAATAGTCTCCAGCATGAAAAGATAAAAGAATTCAAAGACCACTGTGTGTTTGTGTGTGTGTGTGTGCGCGCGCGCGCGCGCGCGAGCGCGCGTTTTATTACTTCTTGTTTTATTACTTCTGCTGCCAGCTCCCTCACTCCAATCTAGCTGGTGACTCGAAGCCTTCTGATAAAAGCACAGTATATGACGATTACTAGTTGGCATTCTCTGCTGGAAACTGGCCTCACACAGGGGTGACCCTGTGATGCACGGAAGGCTATTTAATGCCCTGGCGAAGTGGTTCTGGGACCAAGATTTTATTATGCTTGGTGGATGAGAGTTGTGATCCCATGTCCCTGATTTAGAGCCACTTAGGGCTCCGATAGCTCCACCCGGGTGTTCTAGAGGAAAATACTCCTTCACGCTCTCCGCCTGATCTGAAAGAGACACAGCGTCCCGATGTTCCGCCTGGGAGGTGGTTCAGTCTTTAGAAATTGCCAGAGAAGCCTGTCCATCTGCTGGGATGCCTGGCTTTCTGGAACGGACAAGGAGGAGCTTGGCTTTTAATCTGAGTAACCTGAGGATTTACTGTTTGTAACTGAAAATTGCCGCTTAATTCAAAATAAAAGAGACACACGTTTCTGGCTTTTGTAGACATTGAGAAAATCCGCGTGACGAATTATGATCTAGAAATTTCCGATTTAATTTCCCCAAGGAAAGGGTAAACATTTTCTATTTGGTACTGGGCAGTAGACTCAAGTGGTCTGCCTATAAAAGAAGCTATGTCAGAGAAGGGGCTGTGGGGGGAGTAAGGGGAGGAATCAGCCTTGTACGTGGATACCCCACCCGCCCCTCGCCAACCAATAGCTAGCTGTTCCTGTTAACTCCCAGAAGACAAGTTCCCACCTTTGTCACCTCCTCCAGTCCCTTCCTTCCTCCTTCGCTCTTGTCCCGATCAGTGCGCGCCCCCGGCAAGCTCCCTACCCCCACCTCCCAGCCCCACTACTCTTTATAGAAGGAGGCTGCAGTATCACAGCCAAAAAACCCCTGAGAAGTTAGCCAGCGAATGGGCGTCTGGGGGCAAAAGGGCAATTTGGCTTTTCCAACCGCGTCTAAGCTGCGTGGGCAGAGTGAACTGAGAGGCCGTATCACGAGGGCAACGGCAACGCCACAGGGAAGTGTCAGTCCCGGGGGCCCCGCCGGCGCGCGCTGCTCCAGTGTCTGCTCCCTATTGGCGGGCGTGGCCCTGGGGCGGTGCCACGAGAAGGCCCCGCCCACTGGGGCGGTGAGACGCCGGCACGCACCTCCCCCGCGAAGTTCCAGAGCTGGACTCTGTCCGACTCGGTCTTGCAGCGCCTCTAGGCTGCGGATCCGGCTCCAACCACCTGCGCTTGGCTCTGCGTCCTGGGAAGCGGGGAGGAGAGAGGAGAGAGGGAGGAGGCGAGGGGAGGAGGAGAGCGGCAGCTTACACACGCCTTCCAGTCTCTCCAGTCAGAGCAGCTCAGAGACCGCTGCTGGCGCCGCTGCTATCGCTGCCGCTGCTGTCGCTGCCGCCGCAGCTGCCACCTGAGGAGACCGCCTGGACCTGTCGCCACCCCCTGTCGCCACCCCCGGCGGTTCCTTTCTAGCACTGGGCTTTTTATGCACACTGACACTACCATTATTATTATTATTATTATTCTAAGAGAAGGGAAATAACAGACCAGCTAAAAAGAACAGCGTCCACCTTTATTCAAGTGTCTCCCGGGAAGAGAGGGTCGCCGGTCCCGGGAGGAGCAGCCACAGGGGCCAAGGGCGGGTGTTGAAGGGAAGGCAGGAGGAGTTGGGGCACTGCGCGGTGGAAAGTTGCGGCCCGCGGAGATCCGAAGGTGCAGCGCCACAGCCCAGGGGGCGGTGTGTCTGGGAGAAGCCGCTGCCCCCTGTGTCCCGACCCGCGAGCGCGCGGGCAGCGCGAGGCCGAGGACGACGCCCCCTCCTGCTGCGTGGACTCTGAAGGTGGCCCCCAAGGAGGAGGAATATGGCATCGAAGGCGGCCCCCTCCTGCCGTCTGGTCATCTGTCTCTTGATCTCCGCTGCAGTCCTCAGGCCAGGTGAGCAGGGGCCTCGAAGCAGCCCCAGGCCGACCTGGGACGGGGGCAGTTTCCTAGGTCCCCAGCCGGGGCCTTGCACCCCCGTGGCGGTGCGCCCAGAAGCGTGGGGGAGATCAGGGGACGGCGGTGCGGGCACAGAGCTGGCCCTGGGTTCCCTAACCTGTGTCCCACGTTTGGGCTCGGCCGGTTAGCTCAAGTTCGGGCAGCCACTGGGGTCACTGGTTGAAATCTCCCGGAAGTTTGGGTGCGGCCGGGGTCGGGGCTCCAGGGGCCCGCGGGCAGGATTCGTCTGGCTCCCCCTACGGCTCCCTCCTGGGCGCGAGCTCTCGCCCTGTGACAGTCCCTCCAGTCTCTGAATATCAAAGTCCACGTCACTGCGCTCCGGGCAGTTTTTCTTTCACTTAGCTCTCAGAGGCAATAACTCGCACTTTTTCCTGATAAATCCCCTGGTAATTTCCCCCGGGTATGAGGTGAAGGAGGGGTGCGAGGGATAGAAGAGAAAGGGAGGACCTAAATCACTCCCTTTAAAAACCTCCTAAAGCTTTGATCTGGGTTTGGACGCCCCCTCCCCCATTGTCTGTGTGGGTGGTGAGGGTAGGGGTGGCAGCGGCAAAGAACGCAGCCTGGACTGGAATTCGCTGCCAGGTTTTTGAGCCCTTGGTGAGGGGGTTGTGGATTGTTCAGGACTTGTGATTCAACCTCAGTTCTAGTTCTGTATCGAGTCTCAGAAGGAAAAAAGGGCAAAAACCCCTACAACTAATATATCTCGCCTGGGAATCCCTTTCCTCACCCTTGGGGACGTCCCCTGGCGTTGTCATCCTTAGACCTGCGGGGCGGCTGACGCGAGTGGGTCCTACCAGGGCAATCTGTGTGCTCGCCGTCACTGGACAGAGCAGCAGGTTAATTTTTCGCTAGACTTGAGGATTTGGGGGGAAATTTTTCTCCTTTTGAAGTTTTCATGTTTAGCCCCTCGTAGACGGTTGCAAGTAAAACTCTTACTTCCTGTTATTTCGGCTTCTGTTTGTTCTCTTGACCTTTTCTTTAGTTTTCGTGAAAGAAAAACTCACTTCCTTTTCGCATTTTAATTTCTGTACATCCCTTCAGTTGTTGGCTAGCTGAGGTCAAGGAAGAGATTTGAAAGCCACTGAATCTCTCGAGGAAAAGGGGCAGAGTGGGGCTGGGGGCTCGAGCCCTAGTGTTTGTGAACTGCCGCTGCTGTGTGTTCGTGGTGCTGGCACGCGGGGGCGGGGGCCGCCCCCTCTCGATCTCTTTTTTAAAGTTACATTTCTGGTTGAGGTAATGAGCTCACCTGCTGTTGTTCTGAGGCTAGAGAAAGAGGCGTCTGTGACAAATCTCCGATTCTGGGGCGGGGACTGTGAAACGGGAGTTGAACAGGATTTAAAGCAGGTGGGGTGGGGTGAGAACACCCGGGAGGTGGGAAGGGGAGACCCCCTTGGGTTTGGCACGGTATGGATTTTCACTTTTTTCTTGATTCCAGTGTCCGATGTGGGAAGGAAGGGCACTCACTCTGGAGCGGAGGGGAGAGGAAGGAGACTGAGGGTGATGCAGTTTGTAAAATGCAAAGATCCACACGCCCACAGTTGGTTTTCAGTTCAACCCTGTCGCCACTTTGAGAGTGTAGACTTACCTACGCCCCCACCCCGGGACCACACGCACACGCCCGATTTCCTTTTCGGTGCTGGAATTTCTTTTCAGTCGGGCCACCTCGGAGGACAGGTTTTTCCGCACATGTAACTGCTAAAAAGGGAGAGGTTCCGCTTTCAGATCTTCGCGGCGATTCTTTTGGCGCAGCCAGCTCGCGTTTCTAGCCGGCACCCAGCTGCGCGCTTTCAGCCAGCCGGGGAGCGCGCTCTCACCGCCGCCAACTCGCGGCCGATCTGGAGGTCAGAAGCCTCAGACCCTCAAATGAGCGGTTTCCTTGAATTCACCAGGCTGGCATGTGCGCCACGTTCTCGGTGCGTGGTCAGTGTGTTTTAAAATAAAGGATTATGGCACTAAAAGCTCTCTGTCGAGACTCAGGTCTCAAGTCCTAGAGGGCAAGTGCGCCTCCTTCGGAGCCCTCCGCGAAGCTGAGCCCTGTGTGGGGTGCAGTGCCAATAGCTGGCTTAGTCCAAGGGACTGACTGCCCTGCCTGCAAGCCCTTCATTTCCGGAGCAGTTTTGATAGTGAAAATAGAGTTTTTGAAACTGCCCCTTCAGGTCCTTTGGTCTGCAGTCGCTACATAGTTATTGACATATTTTAGCCATGGCATGTTACCTGTTTTGAAGGGAGAGGGAGAGTATCTGTGAACCACGGAACCTGAATTCGGAGATAAAGGCAATGAAGTATATGCTTAGCATCCGAGGGAGTAGGAATCTCATTATTCTTGTAGAAAGAGCGTCAGCCTGTGGTGACATTTTGTATTGCTTTAAAAAAGGCTTTCCTTGATTATTTACAAGGAGGTGCGGCCCTGCGGTTAACTGTTTCTTCTCCTGAGTCATCACTGTGCACCTCTCTCTGAAATATTTTTTAATTGGTTACTAATATTATAAGTTTCGTTCCAAGACATAAACGCACTGAAAGTTTTTTTTTCACAGTAAGACGTTATGATGGGAATGTATCCGTTTATCTCAATAGGCCTTGGGAAAAGCATCAATTCGTATAATGCCCTTTCAGACTACTGTGTGTGGGGTCTTAAAATTCATAATTTCAAAACTGCAAACTGCTTAGTAGTCAGGAAAATTGCTTTTTCCTTGATGATTTATTTAGTCTAATAGCAATTTGTAATTTAATGAGGCACTATTTTCAGTGAACTGCTTTTCTAGTTTTGGTTCAGGACCATATACCTCCAGGCACTTGAGCAAGTCATTTCACCATTTTGGGCTTCAGCATTCTCATGTATAAGAGAAAGGATGAATTGGACCAGGGCTCTGCTCTGAGAGCTCTGCCAGCTCAAAATTCTGTTTCTAATGACCTAAGGTAAAAAGCCCATTTAGGCAAGGCACAGTCATTTTTTAATTGTACTTTACTAATGCTTTCAGACAGTCTGGACAGACACAATTCATATAAATTCTATTCCTAGAGAAATGTCAGTGGCTCCCAATTGCTAGTTTCCATCGTTTCCCCCTACTTTTATAAACTTATTGTATCTTGTGTTTACTCCTCCAGGCCTGAATAAGGCTATTTAAAAAACATATATGTATATACATAATACAGAGAGAATTAATCTCCTGTTCTTCTGGGAAGAGACCTCAACAGTCAGAAAGAGTTTTAGGTCTTAAAGAAAAGCTTAATAAAAGCCATCCCTTCTGGAAGCCTGGCTCTGTTTAAACTGTGTGTATAGTTCCTAGAATGAAATGTAAGTGATGGTTGACGCTAACATGTTCATGTGAAAAAGCCTTATATGTATGCCCTAAAAATGTTCCTAAACAAAGAAGTTGATTTGTTCCATGGTTGTAAGCGCAATACAGAAGGCAATAGAAAATACTAATGCTTTCAGTTGTTTTCAAATCTGTAGAAATCCAAAATACTTTCATGACCAGATTCCAAACTTTGTCATTTTAAAAAATTCAAACTAGCTTCTCTCTTAAAATAGAAATTTAAAAGGGAACGCTTGTTTACTGTTGACTTATTAAAAAAGAAGAAAATCAATAAAAACCTACTTTAAGAGTCCTAAGTGTTAACAGAAGATTCTTTGTATTGGAATCAGTACTCCTGTGTTCAGTTTTTAGCTGAGCCATATAAGAATGTTGTGACCTTGGGAAAGTTATTTTTCTATTCTGTAGAATTATCTGTAAAATTATCTCCCTATGTAATGCATAGTTCTGATTTTGGCGAGATTGGTAACTCCTTGCCCAGCATTTTGAATTTTTCAAGTAAAACATGCTATATTAATTAAGACTTCTATTGCAGTCTTAATAGAATAACACTCTTTAATTTATTACCCTTAATTATCACTTTGACCATTTTATTAAAAACAGGCAAAAATGTTTCCTTTTTCTCCTTTTTTTCCCTCCCTCAAGTTTTCATGATACTAAACTAAACTTTGTAAAACTGAGCACTAAGTTGTCAGCATTACTTAGTGTAAGATGGCAGCATTTTGTCACATAGTATTTTAAATGCTTTATAATCACCTTGTTTTATATTCCCAAACACACCTCTTTCTGCTCTGGCCATTTATTCCACATAAAACGTCATCAAAGAGTTCTAGCTCTCTGAAGCTATTAACTCAAGTAGACACACGCAATATATATCCCAAATATGCAGAAGAGCCACATTAGTGAGGCTATGATAAAAGAGGATCTCTGGGCCTGTGTGTCTACATAGAAACTTGAATTCCTCTCAAATTGTTAATTTTATTCCTCACTGTTAGGTTTTCACAAAGGCCCATTTTATTTCTTATACATGAATCTATGTGGCATACTAAGAAGTGAGCTAACTCACTGGAATGCTAAAGAAAGTTTTCTTGGGTGTGGTGGGTGATGAATGAATATTTGATTATTACTTTTGGATATCAGCTCCTTTTTATTTTCAATTAAAAAATGAAAAAGGCCAGAAAAATGTCCATTTATATTTCTCAGTACTTTTTTTGTTAAGGCAGAAGTTCCCCTTCCCTATGGAGAACAAAGCCATGACTAAAATAATCTTCTCTATTTAAGAAGAGGATATTATAGGCTATTTGATAAGGTTAAATCCTCCAGTAACTACAAGTATCCCTGTAGTGTACAAAGTATTGTCATATATTTGAAGTTACTGATATTTTCATCCAGCTAATTCCTCTGTTTAAACCACAAAATTTATATTCTTTCCTCCCAACCTTATTGGACAGAATACCATATATATTTCAGCTCGGACTAATTCCAAATGTGCTGTGGTATTCCGTAATTGTTTTATGGTAACCTATTATCATAGCCCATTATTGTAGTGTATGTTCCAAGAATGAAATTAGCTTTTAGCGCTTCCTCTCTTATTCATCCAGTCAGTTCTCAATTATCCATTCC